AAGAACATTTGCCTCTTTCCCCTGCTTAATAGGAACTTGACAGCAAAACTTTACTTGTGTTTGCCACCTGCTTCAGTTTGTGGACTGTAGTGCTGAAATTAACTGCTGTTCATTTTCTTTTTAGCTCTTAGTTACCTGGTACTTGAGGGTATGCTGCACTGGTTTTCCTTAGTAATGCACCTCCTGTGATGATACTGTGACTGTACTGTGCTCCAGAGGCTTGCTTGTAGCCTACTTCCTGAGGTCAAGCTTCTCATGCAGGACGCTCCGCACATTCAGCATCCTGTACACTGTGCCACCCTTTTCTTAGCTGTGTTCTTGTTTGGGGAAAGATGGTAGGGTCAGTAACAGGAGCCTTTTTCCTCTGAGAAGTTCTTTGTTTGGGTCCCAAAGTGACCCTAAAAGGATTTTTGTTTGCTTTTATCTCCAGAACAGCAGTATGGAAGACCATTGTTCATCTTTTGGAAAAAGGAAAAGAGCTTTACCCTTTCATTTTAAAAGTAATTTTCTTTCTTGTCCCTATTACCACTGTTCCTTTGGTTCTTTTTCCTTTATGATTGTCACCTCTTACAGTTTCATCCTGAAGGCAATTGAAAGAAAATTAGTGGTTGAGTTGTACGTGGACTTAGGTTACATTGAGTGTCTTGTTTTAATATACTGGAGACATGGACCCAGACTTAGTCAAAATAGGATATAATCGTTCTACAGGGTTAGACTCCTGACAGGTAAGTAAAATTACAAGCTCACAACTATAATCCTGGCTACTTAGGAGGTTGAGTTCTGAGGAACATGGTTCAAAAGTAGCTTAGGCCATCTGAGAACCTCATCTCCAATTAACCACACACACGTGCGCGCGCACGCGTGCGCACTCGGTAAAATGGGGCTTTGGCTCAAGTGGTAGAACAACAGCCTAGAGGAAAAAGAAAAAAAGCTAAGGGACAACAACCAGCCTGAATTCAAGCCCCTATCCTGGCACAAGAGAGAACCATGGGGTTTGTCATCACAGCTCAATAGTAGAGCACTTGCTAATACATACAAGGCCCTGAGTTCCATCTCCAGAACATTAAAAATAACTAAAGAGAATAAACATGGCATGTATAATTGTCCTAAGTCTGAAAAACACACAGTGACATGATGTTCTTAACCATATTCCAGCAGCCCAAGGCTTTGTGTGTGGTCTGTGGTCTGTCAGGTTCATGATATTTCAGCCCTGATTGCCAAGAACACTTGAAATCTGATTCCACCTCTAATGACAACTTCCAACTGTTCCCCAAGGCAGGTTTATTCACTAATCATTAATAATCCAAAAATACTTTCCACTTGTCACTTCTTATTGGATCTTGAATTTTGCCCCTACTGTACACTATATCTTACGTTACATATGTTAAGAGGATTAGTTGATAGAATAGGGAAAGTTGGAATAATCATTAAGAACTAATGTTTACTGTCATATTTAAATTCCCATTTAAATGCCATGTTTGCTTCACAGCAAGAATAGTAGTGTACCTTCAAATATGAAAAGACGTGTGTGCCTGTAGTGCCAACTGATTGAAAGACTGAGACAGATCATCCGAGCTGAGGTCAAAATCAGCCTGGGCAAACATAGCACCTCCATCTCAAATGAATACATAAATGTGTAGAAACAAGGACTTCCCCTATAGAAGTGCAATTGGCATTTAAATTGTTTTTCTGTACCTGTAAAGGTGAAGTTTCCCACCAAGCTGATGACATTGTAAGGAATTCCTTGTACGTATAGTTGTAAATGACAGAAGAACAAAACATAGTATAAGCTGCTCCTAGTGACTTACAGTTTAGAAAATAATTCAGCTCATGAAATATTTTACTAAATTCCTACCAGAGAATACTGTTTGGTAGGAAAGCAGTGGACACAAGTACACTCGAGCACTGCTTAATGAAGAGACTGTGTTCTGAGAAGATGTTAAGTGATTCTGTTTGTGAGCATAATAGGGTATATGACTACAACATCACTTGGTGACATAAATCTTATGGAAGCTCTTGAGCAAAACATAGTACATGATTAATTACAAGACAGTTTAATAATTGCAGTATTAGAAGTATGTACAGGAGTGAGCTTCATTTAGCATATTTATAGAGCGTCTCCTATGTGTCAGAGATACTGCTACCTGGTGGATATATAGTACAAAGACAAATGGATAGTTTGTGTAGAACTTGCAATCCAGTAGGATAGACTACTGGATTAGGGAGTAAATTATAGTTCTGCCAAAACATGGAAAAACTGCAAATTCACTCCTGCTTTTCAAGTGAAGAAAGTAGGAAAGATCTAGGTAATTCACAGATGAAAGGCTCATAGGCAAGAAAGTGGAGAGGAAACATGAGGTTGGAGAAGATGGAAACCAAGATCATTCAGGATCTACCTAGGCCTGGTAGAGATTTTGGAATGAATTCTAAATTCTTGGAAAGTAATGAAGGGTTTTACATGTTTGGTTGGGTGGGTAAGGTCATTGTGCATTGGCCATCAGTGTTACTAGTGGAGGTAAAATGAGCAGAAGTGACACCAGTTTTGGAGAGAGGAAGAAAAAACAAGAGGAAGTGTGGTTGGAAGAGAATAAAGCTTGAAGGGAAGGATGACATCTCGTTTCCTGGCTTAAGCTACTGCACTTGCCATTTTCTGGGGTAAGAAGGACTGAAGAAGGAGCCTATTTGTTAGTGAAAATTAAAGAGTTCGGGGCTGGGTGCCAGTTTCTCATGCCTGTAATCTAGCTGCTCAGGAGCCTGAGATCTGAGGATCTTGGTTTGAAGCAAGCCGGGGCAGAAAAATCCCCCTGAGACTCTTATCTCCAGTTAACCACTCAAACCGAAGTGGCACTGTGGTTTAAGTGGTAGAGCAGTAGTCTTGAGCATAAAGAGGCTCAGGGTTAGCACCCAGGCCCTAAATTCAAGCCCTATAACCAACCAAACAACAAAGAGTTTTGGGGAAGGTTTTACAGGGGAGGTATTCTGTAAAGTTTGTCAGACATAAGACATTATGCAAAGGTAAATGCCATATCAAGAGAGAGAGATTTAAAAAAATTACCTGAGAAATTGGCTGGGAGGGTGGCTCAGTGGTAGAGTGCTTGCCTTGCATGTATGAGGCCCTAGGTTTGATTCCTCAGCACCACATAAGCAGAAAAAAACAGAAGTGGCGCTGTGGCTCAAGTGGTAGAGTGCTAGCCTTGAGCTGAAGAGCTGAGGGACAGCCAGGCCCAGAGTTCAGGCCCCACAACTGACCCCAAAAATAAAAATTACCTGAGAATTGAACAAGGAGAAATCAGCAGTTACTAAGAGTTGGGAAGATTGCCTGGAAGACATAGAACATACACTTGTCCATGGGGATTGCATGGGGTTTAGATTAGGAAAACTATTCCAATAGAAAAATTATATGAATAAAAATATTGAGACTAGCCAGGTGCCGGTGGCTCACACCTGTAGTCCTAGCTACTCAGGAGGCTGAGATCTGAGAATCGCAGTTCAAAGCCAGCTTGGGGAGGAAAGTCCATGAGACCTCTAGTAAACCACCAGAAAACAGGAAGTGGCACTGTGGCTCAAGTGGTAGAGTGCTAGCCTAGAGGTAAAGAGATGAGGTGCAGTGCCTAGTCCCAGAGTTAAGCTCCACGACTGACCAAAAACAAAAAAAACTGAGACTATGTGAAGCCATAAGAATATCCTGTATAAAAATGAGAAGATTGAAAAAGGGGAAGGTAATCCTAATGAACTAGATTGTTATATATTGCTTCCTGGGGTCATGAGATCCAAGCTGAGGTTGATATAGATGGAAATGCACCTTTTAGGATAGTAGTGGTATTTATGTGTTGGATGAGTTGGATTCCAGATTTGTTTTTGTTTTGATAGAGGTTTTTGGAAATGTGGTGCTAGCATAGAAATAAGGGCCTGGAGCGGGCATATAAATCTAGAGGGGATGGGGGAAAAAAATGAGCAGAACTCGTACTAAATAGGAATGGAGGAGAACTCAAAGTTAACTTCCTAGAATTAAGCTTTGGTAACCAAAAAGATTTGGGGCAGAAGTGAGAAAGAAATGAGACTAAGTTAGAATGGGAAATTTATTTTAAATGTGTTAGGAAAAGTTTCCAGTAGAGAGTAGTAGTCATAAAGAACATTGAAGTCAGAGCAGACACATGTATCCCTGACTTTCAACACTTAAGAACAAAACAAAAAACCTTGGGCTGGGAAGGTGGCTTAGTGGTAGAGCGCTTGCCTCACATGCATGAGACCCTGGGTTCGATCAGCACCACATAAGCAGAAATAGCTGGAAGTGACGCCGTGACTCAAGTGGTAGAGTACCAGCCTTGAGCTGAAGAGCTGAGGGACAGCGTCCAGCCAGGCCCAGAGTTAAAGCCCCACAACCAGGTCGGGGGGGTTGCGGGTCAAGAAGAATCGTTCATAATCCATTAATGTGTGTAACATAGTATGCTTGGCTTGGTTTCTATTTCCTTGATTGTCCTACTAGATACTTTGAGTGATTTTTTTTTTTAAAGATGACCCCTTGGGTTGCTTTATATGAGATTGTGTCTTTTGTTCTTTTTGCTCTGTTCTTTTTTTTTTTCTTCATAAGTGTTGGCCCTTCCTATGTACTTCCCCTTTGTAAAGTCTCTTTCAGACAAGTCTGATGGGAGAAAATAGATTTTGGGGGAAAGGTACTTTCACTTTGAAGACCTATTGAAACATGATAATTTGGCATGTAAATACTGAGTTACACCCTGAACTCTGAATGATACTATGACCCTCGTCAAATTCTTTGGGATTTGATCATGCATTGTCTCTTTGATGTCATCGTTTGAGATTCTAGAATGTTCTCAACCTTATTTTCTGGCCAGACAAGTTACTGTGCCTAAAATTTCAGTCATGTTCTCACTGTCATGTTTTAGAGAAAAATACTTGGAGGGTGGAGACTTCTATGAAGAGCTGAAAGGTTGGCTACTTACAGTTTCATTGTCTTAGCATCTTCTTGCTGCTTCCCACAGAGATCCATATGGCTTTGGAGATAGTCGAGATTCAAGGCGTGATCGATCTCCGATTCGGGGAAGTCCAAGGAGAGAGCCAAGGGATGGCAGAAATGGCCGAGATGCCCGGGATAGAGACATTCGAGACCTACGGGACCACAGAGATAGCAGAGACATTCGGGATCACAGAGATAGCAGAAGTATGCGTGATGCTCGGGACATGAGGGATCTCAGAGGCTTTCGTGATCTAAGAGACTCTAGAGATTTTCGAGATCACCGGGACCCCATGTATGACCGATACAGAGACATAAGGGATTCCCGAGACCCAATGTATAGGTATGTACCCTTTCTCCCCAATACTGCATACTTTCCTGTTGCTAAACTAATTAAAAGGCTCGTTAAGGACAATGACATCAGTCTTCTATTTCCAGTGTACTATATACAGTGTTGAATTTTGCTGAATGTGATGAATTAATGCTTAGTGAATAAATCTGGATCTTTGTGACAACATCATCAAATGAAAACAGAAGTGGAAGAGAAAACAAAACCGAGATGTTGAAGTAGCTATTAAATGCATGGAAGATAATAGCATTAGTCATCATAAAATGTCAATGAAATGCCTCTTCACACCTAGGATGGTTATATTCTTTTTCCAGAAACATAGAAAATAGTATTAGTTATAAAATTATAAGAAATTGGAACTTTCATACTGTGAAATGTAAAAATGGCAGATAGTTACTTGTGGGAAACAGCTTGCCAGCTACTTAAAAAAAAATTGAAAAAAAGGACTCAGTTACACAGGAATAGATATAACAGAACCATACCCACAAGCTAAAAGGTAGAAACAATCAGCCCCTCTGAAAAGTAAAGCAAAATGGTTTGGAAGTGTGACTCAAGTGGGAGAGCCCCTGCCTACCAAGCAGGAAGCCCTAATTTTAAACTCCCGTATTGTTTTTTAAAAGTTAAAATGACAAATTCTTGTTACAAGTTTTACTACAGTGTTAAAAAAGCATAAGGAAGCTACTGAGGCTCATACCTGTAATCCTGGCTACTCAGGAACCTGAATTCTGAGGATTAATATTTCAAATTTGTCCAGACAGATGAATCAAGACTCCTGTTCCTCCACTTAACCAGCACAGAGTTGGAAGCAGAGCTGTGCCCCAGGTGTTGAATGTACCAGCCTTGCTCAAAAAAAGCCACATGAGACCACGACAAGCCCCAGTACTGGCACCAATGGACAAAAAGAGAAGGGGACATGAGATGTTCCTCAAAATAAATACGTTATTTTGCATTTATTACATATTGTGGCCTATGCTGAGCTTTTTATACATATTCCATTCCATTTTTTTTAAGTATAATCATAGCCACAGAAATGATAACCAATGAGTCCCAGATACAAGTCTCATTTGTCTAACACCAGAATCTTGTGTCTTAGAGGGACCTAGGTCTTAAGAATTCTGTTTTTTTTTTTTTATTTTTTGTTTTGTTTTGTCGGTTGTGGGGCTTGAACTCTGGGCCTGGGCACTGCCCCTCAACTCTTCAGCTCAAGGCTAGCACTCTTTACTTGAGCTACAGAGCCACTTCCGGTTCTCTGGTGGTTTATTGGAGATAATAGTCTCATGGTCTTTCCTACCTGGGCTGGCTTTGAACTGCGATCCTCAGGTTTCAGCCTTCAAGTAGTTAGGATTACAGGCATGAGCCACTGGCGCCCGGCAAGAATTCTGGTTTTTATAAAATAGGATAAAGTTTTAACTTTGTGAAAATTTTCTCAACTTTTCAGGAGAGAAGGCTCTTATGACCGATACCTGCGGATGGATGACTATTGCAGGAGAAAGGATGACGCTTACTTTGACCGGTACAGAGACAGCTTTGATGGACGAGGCCCCCCTGGCCCAGAAAGTCAGTCTCGTGCAAAAGGTAAAAGAGGAGAAATGTTATGTTTCTATTACCAGTGGAACACTTTACAAAAGAAGAAGAGGTAACTACTTGGGTTAATGACTTGGCTAAACAAGTTCATCAAAAGAGAAAACAGGCCTGTATACTGGTTGCTCACACCTATAATCTTAGTTACTCAGAAGGTTGCAATTTGAAGCTAGCCTTGGACTCCCATCCAGCAAAAAGCAGGGCTAGAGATACGGCTCAAGTAGAAGAGCTCCAGGAAAACATGAAGCCATAAGTTAAAACTTCAGTGTGGCTAAAAAAGAATGGAACTGTAGTTACATGCTGCTTTTTTGCCCATTGACCAGATAGCCTTTTTTAAATCACATGAGTTTTTATCATTTTTATTTACTATATCTTTAATACTTTTTTTTTTGGTGCCAGTCCTAGAGCTTGAACTCAGTGCCTGGGTGCTGTCCCTAAAGTTTTATTACTCAAAGCTAGCACTTGACACCTGAACCACACCTCCACTTCTGGCTGATTATAAAGATTTTTATATTATTTCATACAGACTTGGCCAAGTAGAGATGGTTAAGAACCTCATTTTTAATTGGTTACAAAAATTTAATCACTTGCCTTTTGGTTAAGATCAAGTGTAATAAAACTTTGTCACTTTTTTTTGGGGGGGGGACGTCATTCATGGGGGTTGAACTCAGGGCCGAGGCACTGTCCCTGAGCTCTTTTGCTCAAGGCTAGCCACAGCACCACTTCTGATTTTCTGGTGGTTAATTGGAAATAAGAGTTTCAAGGACTTTTCCTGCCTGGGCTGGCTTTGAGCCATGATCCTCAGATGTCAGCCTCCTGAGGAGCTGGGATTACAGACGTGATCTACTAGCACCCAGCATGTCACTCATTTTGTCCAAACAGAAATGTACATTTGAATAATAAAATTCTATCAAATTCACTGAAAATTAAAAGAGTAGCAATAGCATTGACTAACTAATATGTAGAGAAATAGGCACTGGTTGATCCTCCCTTTTTTTTCTTTTTTCTTTACTTAGTTCCTTTGTTTTTGTCTCAGACAGGGACTTGAACTCCATATTGGATTCTTTCACTCATTGGCTGGCACCACCTGAGCCACACCTTTAACCTCTGTTATTTTTTCCAGTACTGTGACTTGAGTTCAGGGCCTCACACTCTTGCTTGGCTTTTTTGCTTAAGGCTCTATCATTTGCACCATACCTCCATGTCCCAATCTTTTTCTTAAGTATAAATTTATAACACTTTCTAGAAGTATGTATCAGCCAAAGAATGAAAGAAAGAGACTGTGCCCCTTGATCCAACAGCCTCCTTTTAATGAACTTATAATAAGCAGTAATAATAGTGGTTATTTTGGGGAAGTAGATTTGAAGATTGGTTGATTCAGAATCCTGTGACTTATTTTATAAGAAGATAGTCTTTATTTAAGTTTTTCCCTCTGGTATCTTGTAGAGCGTTTGAAACGTGAGGAACGGCGTAGAGAAGAGCTTTATCGTCAATATTTTGAGGAAATTCAAAGACGCTTTGATGCTGAGAGACCTGTGGACTGTTCTGTGATTGTGGTCAACAAGCAGACTAAGTAAGAACCCTTTGCCTAGCTCTAGTGAGAAGAGTCAACACAGAAATTGAGATTCCAACTTAGTAGCTCTGTTGACAACTTGGGCTATTCTGATATTACATAAGTATAAGGCAGAGTTTTTTGAGCTGTTGGTGACAGAAAACCCAATTCAAATTGGCTTTATCTTCAAAGGAGCAATTTTTAAGTTTGCTTGACTGGGAAACTCAGGCTACATCCAGGGTCAAACTGTATCATCAAGACTTGTTTCTCCTGGTACCTCTGCATGGCTTCCTTGGTGTTGCCCTCATTCTCATGGCACTGGAGAGCAGAATGGCACTGGCCTAGTTGTGTCTCATCTTAGCTCCGCAAACCTACTGGAAAGAGAGCTGTTCTATCCCAGTACTGCTACTGAAAATCTACAGTTGTTTTTATTAAATTCCCCAGGTTTACTTTCTATCCATGATCCTGTCACTTTGGCGAGGGCTAAAGCCTGTTCTTATCCCTAGAGCTCAGGTGGGCTAGGCCGTCTAGAACCATGCAAGCTGCAAGTAAGAATGAGGGTAGCCACTAGCCCAGAAAAGCAGTAGCTCCCCCTTGGTGGGGCACCTGAGATCCCTCATAATTGAAAAGCAGCTCTCTGCATTTGTCAGCCAAGAATGAAGCCTGCTTTGTGACAGGCCCCTGGCGTTGCAGAAGTGTTAGGTGTCCACGCTAACCAAGCAAGAGTTTATAGCACTGTTCCCTTCTATCTCTTCACATTCTCTCCTTGAGGACGTAAGGGAGAAGGGGGCAGAGCAGCTTGCAGGCTTGATAGGTGCTATGTTCTCTTTCCCAGACGGTCAGTAAATAAATTCATGTGTTTTCTTGCAGTTTGGGGTTAAAGAGCTAATTTCAAGGCAGTGACTAGGGAAATAGGTGTTGAGACACCAAGTGGCAGGCTTGCCTTGTTCAGAGACATGCTATTTTGAATATAGGTAGCTTTTTCTGGGCGCATGACAATAGCTTTCATTTTCTGAGCACTTTGTACTACCCCATGCTAGGTACTTTTATACAAATTATTTTTAATCTTCATAGCAATTATATCCCATGTTGTTATTATTTGTACTGGAGCTATAATGGTTTAATAAGCAGATACACACATCGCCTTCCACTATGTGGAACTCAGTCTAGTTGAGAAGATGACAAAAATAAGTATATAAGTGAAGAATCCTAATGAGAGCATGGCAATCTGATTTAGATTGAAGGAGAAGTCAAGGAAATGACATAGGAGTTGAGCTATATTATTCCCATTTCATTGGTTCAAGATGAGAAGTACATCTGATAAAAGGTAAAGGGACTTGCTTAAAGCTTCACGGCATTGCAAGCAAATGTTAAGGCCGCAATCCAAAGCAGTCTTTGTTGCACTGAAGCCAGCGCTTTTTGAGCTGTACTATGTAGGCTCCCAAAGGTAGGGAGCACCAAGTGTTAGGTAGCAGGTTTGTGTTAAGGAAGAATTGACCACTGGACTAGAGAGTCAAGAGAAAGAAGGGTATTAAATACTGTGCCACTGGAAACACCTGTGTGAGCTCAGGCAAGTCACACAGTTCTAGAATCTTTGGAGCCTCATGGGCACTGAAGGTGGCCTAGAGTTTGAGTTCTGTGTAGGAGCATGTGCAACTGGCACAGTAGCATACAGATTGTTGGTGAGGGACTATTTACCTGGAACCTGTTTGTTCTTACAGAGATTATGCTGAGTCTGTTGGGAGGAAGGTCCGAGACCTAGGCATGGTTGTAGACTTGATCTTCCTAAACACAGAAGTGTCACTGTCACAAGCCTTGGAGGATGTTAGCAGGGGAGGGTCTCCCTTTGCTATTGTCATCACCCAGCAACACCAGATTCACCGTTCTTGTACGGTCAACATCATGTTTGGAACTCCACAAGGTAGGAAGGCCCAAGTAGGTCAGAATCCTAGAAGTAGTTACTAGTACATTCATTCTGTACCATATTCATAAGAAGTAGGTTTGGAGCAAATAATTTGTGTATTTCACTTGGAATATGGTAGGGTCCTTCTCTGTGTGTACTGGGAGGTTCTCACATAGTCATTGCCTTGTCTCTCATTCTCCTCATTCTCTGTGATGCAGTGCTGGGCCTGCTGTTCACTCAGTTATTAGCAGTGTACAATAAGTATCTTGGGAAAATATAACAACCAGCTCTTGTGTAAGGTGAGATTTGTAGCATTTGCCAGTTTCTGTAGTGTAAATACTCCCACTGTGTCCCATTTTAAGCTACAACATGAAGTCACTGAGGGGAGAATTGGAAAGAAATACACACAGTTGGCTCACCTGTGGTATCCAGCTCTGGCATGCGTATGGCACATACTGCACTGAACATGATGGAATCCTTGTTTTCACAGTGTACTGGAGAGGTGAACAGAGGAGCTGTGAGAATAGGGGAAGGTTCTGAGCCCCTAAGAGGTACACAACAGGACAAGTCCTCCAAAGTAGCTTTTAGTGTTTTGATCCCTAAGCAGTGAGACTCAATCATCTCATACCCTGCTCAGGGATCCTCCTCTAGGCTCCTCCAGCCTAGATGTTTCCTTTCACCCCATACCCCACACCCAGACTCTTGTTTTGGCCTGACCATTGTACCTGTACGTGGCCATGGAATACATAGTGATTTCCAGGGGGGAGTTTGTTCTAGGTGTCTGAGCACATACACGGAAGGTTCTGGCCAAAAGCCCTTTGACCACTGGTAGGAAAGGGAGGTTATTTAGGGCCACAAGTAGATTTTAATTCATTACTTTTGAACTGATGAATTAAAAAACAGTAGGGCAGATCTCTCCCAAGGAGCACAGTGGAGAGCCAGGCTGTACAGAGGGCTTTTTGGCCTCCTGCTGCTGGTCTAGAGACTGCTGGGCCTACCTCCTGCAGCTACTCCCCACATGGTCTGTTTGAATCTGCAGGAGCCTGTCATGTTTCTTTGGTTTTTACTACAAGTCTGTGATCTAGGAATTTCCCCCAAAAGAAATAGCTCTCTACAAAGGCCCAAGTGCTCCCCACCAAAGATTCCGACTCACCTCTCAGCTCCTTCCCAGCCCCGCTCATACCACCTCACGTGGCTGTTGTCACTGAAATGGTTTTCTTTCTAGTCTAAGGAGGTTAGGAAGGACTTGGCAGAGGGCAGCAGGTGGGCACGCCCTCTCTCCTCATGGGAGAAAATCATTTGTGTCATTCCTTCCCACAGAGCATCGCAACATGCCCCAGGCAGATGCCATGGTGCTAGTGGCCAGAAATTATGAACGCTACAAGAATGAGTGCCGGGAGAAGGAACGTGAAGAGATTGCCAGACAGGCAGCCAAGATGGCTGATGAAGCCATCCTACAGGAAAGAGAGCGAGGAGGCCCTGAGGAGGGCGTGCGTGGAGGGCACCCTCCAGCCATCCAGAGCCTCATCAATCTGCTGGCAGATAACAGGTATCTCACTGCCGAAGAGACAGACAAGATCATCAACTATCTGCGAGAGAGAAAGGAGCGGCTTATGAGGAGCAGCACCGACTCTCTGCCTGGTGAGCTACGTGGCAGGGCCGAGGTGAAGTTCTGACTCTGCATTTCTCTAATCCCCAGGCTCTGTTGGGAGGGTGCCAGGCCCAGGGCTGATTGGGTGGGGAAGGGAAGGGAAGCCCATCTTTTGGGTTCTCCCATGGGCCATCCATACTGATAAAACTACTGTAATGATAATAACTTTAGATTTGGGTCCCGAATTCTCACCCCTATGTTGTTATTGTGGCAGTGGGGTGGATTAACATCGCTGGCTCCTTGGTAGCCAGGAGGGATGCCCTCATTTATTTATGCCCTTATTTATATACAGTTCTCCCAGGGAACAAGGCTGCTTTTTGTAAACAGTATATACCATAAAGTGGCCATTTTGGAAATTGATGTTATTGTCTGTACTGTGTGATTGATGTGACTATGATTGTTGTTCTTCCCTTGGCTACTAGGCCTCCTGCCCTTGGAGGTGCTTTCAACCAGATGCCTCCCTTCTGTCTTCCAGGCCCGATTTCCCGCCAATCACTCGGGGCGACCTCGGGTGCCTCGCTGAAGACACAGCCAAGCTCCCAGCCGCTCCAGAGCAGCCAAGTGCTCCCCTCCGCTACACCCACTCCAACTGCACCCCCCACCTCCCAGCAAGAGCTTCAGGCCAAAATCCTCAGCCTCTTCAATAGTGGCACAGTTGTGGCCAGCAGCAGCTCTACGTCCCCCTCAGTTGTTGCCGGAAACACACAGAACCAGAATTTTTCCACAGCAGCAAACAGCCAGCCTCAGCCAAGATCACAGGCCTCTGGCAGTCAGCCTCCAAACATTTTGGGACAGGCAGGATCTGCTCGGAACATGGGTCCCAGGCCTGGGGCTCCTACCCAAGGGCTCTTTGGCCAGCCTTCTAATCGCCTGACACCTGCCAGCAACATGGCTAGCCAGAGGCCTGTATCCTCCACAGGTATTAACTTTGACAATCCAAGTGTACAGAAGGCTCTGGACACTCTGATCCAGAGTGGCCCTGCTCTCTCCCACCTGGTTAGCCAAACTGCAGCACAGGTGGGGAGGCCCCAGGCCCCCATGGGATCTTACCAGAGGCATTACTGAGGCTAAACAGCTCCACTACTCCAGTCCCCTGGCCACCGCCCACCTCATTCTGAGTAGAGTTGTTTGGAGGATGTTTGTTGGCGCTCTCCAGGTCTACATCAAATGTCCTAAGTTGCTATCACCTGCTCCCTCTCCTGCCCAAGGCTGCGTTGCTTATTACTTACAGAATCAGAATTTATACTGCAATTGGGAGTATATTGTTTTTTGTTTTAGTAGAAAATAAATATCTCCGGGGTTGCTTGGGCAGTACAGGTGTGTGTGCTTGGTTTCTATGAGAATGAGTTTCTCTGGTCCTTGTCTGCTGGCTTTGGGAGAGGAAAGGAAGAAGCAAGTCCCAGCAAGGCTGCATCTGGAATGCCATGTGTCATATCAGTAACCACCACCTCTGTTCACTTGGAACCTACCAAGGCTTTCTCCTCACACGTCCAACAGAGCTGTGATGCCCACACTCACAGAGGAGCAGTCTCGGCAAGGAAGATGTGCTGTGCCCCCCCCCCCTCGTGGGGGCTGTGCTCCAGAACTCACCAGCTGCCTGCAGGCCACAGAAGGAGCTCTTCTGTCTGTGTCAGGGCAGTGATTTCTTCAGAGTTGGTTTGAGTCTTCGTTTTTTGTTTTTGTTTTGTTTTCATATCTTTGGAGAATCGCCAGTGGACTGGACAGCTCCATTTACCAACAGTTTGATGGGAACTGGGCTGAATCTGTGCTCACCCCTCTTCTCTGTAACAAGGTCAGCACCTGGAGGAGTTGGGCTGAGAAGATGGCTCTGGGCATCTGGCAGTGGACATCCAACATTTCAGTGATTTGGGCTTTTGGCTCAAAAACCTCAGGCTTGGGGGGGCGGGGGTTCTTACATGTTTTTTGAGCAGCAGGGTAGGGACCATTTTGATGTCAGACTTTGGGTACTTGAACATGTTCTTGATAAAGATGGTGTCCATAACTTTTGAGTCAGAATGAGATTATTGGAGAGAGGGTGGCTGGTTGCTGCTCTGAATGGAGCCAAAGGAAGCTGCCCTGTCCCTGGGGAACACTATGCTCACTAGAGCTCTGTGGATGGAGTCTTGGGTGGCCATGGCAGAGTGAGGAGGGCTGTGGCTGTACTGAATCCCGAACCAGTGGCTAGGCAAACGATAGTTTCTAATTTCAAGATCCTCGATGGCAGCAGTTAATGTTCTGGCCTGTTGGTGTTATATAGTGGGTTACTCCATCCCCTTTGGAACTCGTGTTATTTTAAAAAAAGAAATGAAATGATCACTTTTTAATTAAAATGAAAATGTCAGTGCTGTGTTCATCTTTCTTGCCTCATTGCAAGGAACTTTTCCAAGGGTGTGCTCCTTGTCCTCAGCCTGCGGCCAGCCAACTTGGGGCTTCATGTGCAGCTCACCTGCTACAGAGTGGGCATAGTTGACAGCGAAGGCCTGTGGCCACAATAGTGCTGGGTGGACAGCAGGTCCTCTTGTTCTGAGAGTAGAAGACAATTGTGAAAGTCTTTTCTGGATGACAGCTGGGATGGGATCTTGCTTGCATCTCCGTTGCTTCTGTCTTAGACACTGAACCTCAAAAGAGCCCTCCAGAGCCTTTATAATAAAGTTGGGGTAAGTGGCACAAACCTCTCTTAGGTTAGCAGCAACCAATGGTGACGGCAAGGCCGGACTTCCCTTAGAAATGGCTCACTGCCTCCCCGGTGGACACAGTGTGACTTGGCACCCAGGAAGTGCCTGTGGCCTAGGAGCCGCTCCACGCTAGGGCTTGGGCCCAGCCCAGGGATGGCCACACACCGCCTGTCAGCAGGGTTTGGGGTTTCTCCCGAATCCTCTGGGGAGCATCCAAATAGCACACCTCAGGCCATGAAGGGTATAATAAAATTATTTTTATTGCATTTTGTGCAGACGGGAGTCTAAAAAATTAATACAGTAAAAGCCTCAAAGCATTAAATGGGAGCATTCAACAATAAAGGAAAGAAGTGAGCCTCTCCTTTTCATATTGGCACAAAGAACACAAGATCAATACTGAGGCAGGATGCGGAATACTGAAACACTGAAAATTAAAGGCAGGCCTAATAATAGTAATAATTGTAATAATAAATACTCTTGATTTGGCTTGCAATCTCTCCTATTTACAAGGGTTTTCAACTTCATTGCATTGCCCTGCACATAGATCATCTAAAACAAAAGCAACACTATCACTACAAGGCTATTGAAATATTGCACTCAGAATAAAAGTCACTTGAATGGACATGAAACATCTAGCTACAGTGATTAGAAAGATAATTTGATGAGTGACGTGATAACATTCATAACAAATATTGCACATGTAGCACAGAGAACTCGGGTGTTTGTTGTGGGATGTTTGTCTCAACAGAAACTGCTCTTGCCAGCCAGACAGTCTGGGCCCAGATAGTGCAACTTTGGTACCCCAATTGGTGATACAGCCCCCTACCTTCTGCCCAGCCCACCACTTCAGCCTAGAAGCTGAGCCCCCTGGTTCTCCACGGGAGGTCTTTCAAAAGGATGCAGGAAGCTGTCAAACGCTTGGAACTTTCCACCCAGGGCGTGGACTAGTCAGGTCTCGGCCTGCGCCGAGCGGCAGACCTTCACACCTGCCTGGCCACACCTGACCCGGTTAGCTGGCCCCGGCTGCAGCGCTCTGCCCTGGGCTCGAAGGAAAGAAGGTGGTGAGGTCAGGAGCAGCCAGTGGCCCCGGCTCTGGAAAGGGGCAGGATGTCTAACTAGGCGCGTGGGTCAGGGCCCTGGGGCTGGAGGTCCCGTTCCCAGTCCCAGAAGGCGCTGGACGAGCATGCAGTGCCTGTCCCCCTCAGTGACCGTGCCCTGCGGAGGGGAGCAGGCCGAAAAAGCCTTCTCTAAGTTGGGCAGAAGACACCTCCGACGGACCCGGCGGGGGGCGCGGAAGCATCAAGCACTCGAGTTGGCGGAGCCGAAGGCCTTGGGTCCTAGTTTAGATGAGGGCGGAGCCGCGCTGAGAACCAAGCGCAAGTGACTGCGGCCTCCCCGGCCGGTGCCCGGGAGCCGGCGCCGGAGGTCCAGGCTCGGCCCCACCACGCCCGGACGAGCTGCAGCTGGGGAACTACGGACCGGGCTCGGGAGGAAGTGGAGGGGCGGGGCGGGGGCCTCACCCCGCTTCCTCTGCGTAGCTGGAGGGCGCCCCCTCCCGCTCCGAGATCTCAGTCTTTGGCGAGGAGCCACGGGGTCGGGGGAGCAGGCGACCAGCCGTCCGAGGAGAGACGCCTGCTCCCCCGCGAAGGCACCAGGGCGGGGCTTCCTCGGCGGCCGCGGGCTTCTCTCGGTGCCCCCGCCCCTCCCCGGGCCCCAACTCGCGTGAGAGCCGTCGGGAGGAGTCAGCGCGTCCGCGGGGGGCGAACCGGAAAGACCCGGGCCCCCTCGCCTCCCCGCCGTCCCCTCCTCGCCTCCGCCGGGAGCTGGAGGGGAGGGAGGGAAGCGGAGGGCGCGCCGGGGACGGGGAGGAGCGCCGGCGAGCGGGCCG